TTCCATATTAGCACTTTCCCTTCTCGCATAAGGCATTAGCCACCTTCCATCCTACAGGTAGGGTTCGAAGGCTTGAACTACATCCGAAGAAGGGGCTAATTATTTTTATTATATCTATCTCGAAACGTTTTCGGCGTAGTTTGAGAAACACTTCAAGTATAACGGAAGACAAGGAAAGTGGCAAATGCATAAGCGAGTGAAGCTTAAAGGCCCCGTGCCCTTAACGACACTTTTGGTCTTCTCGACACTTTTACAAGGGATAAATACGGACTACACATTCGGGTAAGAAAGAAATCCGTTTGCCTTTCCTTGTGTTGAAGGTTTCTTATTTGTTGTAAAACTCTCCATCGAGAATAAGGCTCACTACCTATTCTACCGTTCTTATAATTAATACGATCTTAACTTTTAATTATAACCCAAAAGGTCGAACACATGTTCATCATTCCTGTTAAGCTAGGATCGATTTCTTCGCTCTCGCTTGTACAGTTTCTTAATTCAAAAAGACCGAAGATAATTCCTTAATTTTGCCGCATTCCTTATGCTGAGGCATTAATTAATATTTACTCTTTTTGTTTAACTTTGTATCATACAGTCAAGCGTCAAATTTGAGAGCAGAGCAGTTTTACTCGGTTATTTAAACGCTACGGTCAAACATTAGCAATGGATAAAATAGGCGTTTAGAGATGAAAGGAAACAGGAAATGTTAAGAACAGCAATGTAAAAATGACGTGATCTATAAACTCTTTTTTATTAGGCTACAAATGAAGCCTGTTCGTCTCGTTGACAAAATTATTTACTTTTCTGCAAAATGTGTCTGTCCTGTCATATTTTTGCTGATAGAAATTGATTAATAACGGGGAGATAATATCGTACGAAAACATTTTGACTTAAAACTTTTTGCTTAAAAAGAAATTGCTGGACGTTATGTGTAAAAACGGTTTTCGTTTGATGGAATTTCGGCTTTAACCATCGCTCGTTTACAGTGTTGCTCAAAGCAAAAGTTGACATAAGTTTATGCGATTTCCTTTTTCTTACAAAAATTGACAGTTTTTCATCGAATCTTTTTTGCAAATCATAAGACGACAATAGAAAGAAATATTCTCTTTTCTGAAGTTTTAACAACGCTTATCTACTGTCTACCGTAATTCTGTAGTTCTGCTTATTTTACCGTCTTGTGTTATTGCATAACGATCCAACTCTTCTTCATGTTTTCTTAGTGTCAAGAGTGGAGAATCTTTCCCAGAAAATTTTCTACAATTTCTAAAATAGCAACAGCGATAATAGAAATAGAAATATTCGGTTTTCAACACCTTTTTTGTTTGTGTTTTCTGGCTAGTACCATAAACGAAGGCGTGAGCAAAGACAGAAACGATAGCTTGGAGGGTCTCGGAAATTCAATTTAGGGAATTTTAAATCTTGTGTGTTTCAAAGAAGCTATCACTCCCCACCCCACAATTCATTTTCCTATCAAAAGAAAAATTTGGCGGCATTTACGGCATAGATACTTTTTGGTTATGAAATGATGTTTATATAGAATTACTGTCTTTGTCTCAAAAAGTACGAATCCTTTACTCGTCAATTTTTGACCGATTCAATCAAAATTTAACATGCCGCGGACTTATCGTTTGGGCCGACTTCAGTGTGGCTTGCCTAAACAACGAAACAGCGAACCTAGCCCAAACGCGAACAAACAACACTTTCAAAGTAAAGGTTCACAGTTTTGTGCAAATGGCAAGATGCAGTGAGAACGTGAACCTCTGTTTGCGTACATGTCAATTGGTCACAAAAAGGCACTTTTCTGTGAACGATGTAACTCGGAAATATTAAGGAAAGCAAATCAAAAAAGAAGTTTTTTTTTTAATCTTTATCCAAAAGGCTTCTAAAGAACCTTTTTGTCATGTTGAAAAGATTGTTTCGGTTGCTTAATTATTTAGGGTGGAGCGGAATTACAAGAAGTGAACATGTTGGCTTGCTTCTTAAACCCTTTTACTAAAAAAGGATTTTTCTGGAGAAAATAGTGAAAAACTGGTTTCGTTAGATGGAGGTTTTCGCTCTTCACAACGCTGGCTTATATTATTATCCACCAAAATATTTTGCGTTGTTACATAAGTTTCCGTGACTAGCACAATTTTCCTCAAAAAATATTTTGTGCCATTGCATTTAATTGTTTTTGCTTCAAAAATTCCTACAAATTCTAGCCAGCTATAGGAAGACATGTTCTCTTGTCAAATGTTTAAACGATGCTTGTCTACTATTTTCTCTCTTTTCTGTTTCCTACTATGTTTTGTTATTGCATAAGAGTATGGACTTTTCATTTTTCTCATTGGCAAGAGTTAGATATATTCATTTCCATCAAGAAAAAAGGCTGTGGTATTTATGGAATAGGGACCTTGAAAAAAGATTTTGCTTGTTATATAGCTCTGCGGTACAAGACATTTTGACATATCCGTAAAACCTACACCACTTTTTTTTCCACAGTAAAATAAGCCGAAATTTGAGTGACTAATGTCTAATCCCGAATACAACTCCAGTTTAGGAAAATCATTTAGGGATATTTTAAGAAATTAAGAATGTCCAATGTTTCATTTTGCGAATTAAAGGTTTCAGTAAAACCCACATGATAGCCCTAATCAGCGCTACTAACTGTCGTTGTTTTTTTTCCCTCTCTTTCTCAGATATAATTTGGAACAAACATTTGAAACAGAAGTCGAGAGTCTGGTACAGCTAGAGAGGCAAAGATCTTTGCGAAGCTGTAAGTAAACCAACATTTCTAGCATTCTTTCAGACGATAAACATTAAAAGTGCAAATGATTTAAAACAAGATGTTTGTTCTTTTAAATGAATCGACAAAACAGACGATCCCCGGGTCTGGAAAGTATTACCGTGAGCTTTGAATAGAAAAGTTACGCGAACCTCAAACATTTGATGAAATATATTTAACTGTAAAATAGGTGTGAAAGTGAATGACCGACAGTAACTTCCTGAAATATTGTTGACTGATTCACAGTTTATGAATAAAAAGAAAGCTACAAGCCCCATTTCAATCGAGCTTAATACGAGGAAACAATTTTTTAATTTTGATTTTTGTTCAACAATATTTTACGCTGGGTATCGAAACCAAGGTGGTAAAGAGAAAAAATACGAAAAATATACATTGTTCATGAAAAAGTCATATTTACATGGTAACAAAGTCCTTGGGAGATCTCCTGTCAAAAGTACACTTTTTGTGCGTGTTTTTTTTTTTTTGCTGCCCAGCTATTGCCTTTGTTAAGCTCATAACCCTGGGTTGAATGAATTTTTATTTTTTATTGAAAACGTACGTTATTTCTCTTATTGGTTTGTTTTGGCTTACATAAAAATATGGAAAAGAGGGCATCAAATTGAAGTTCAGTGAATCTGATTGAACGACTTCAGGCGCTGTGCACGCGCTGTGCACGTGAAGTCATTTTTAATGGCTCATTACCGACCTTCTCACTTTGACCACTCAGTCAGGTGCAAAGGTGACAGTCCTCTCATTTTAATTCGTCGAAAATTCTCAGGAGACGTTTTCAGTTTTTCTCGACATAACTAACAAAGGAAAATAAAGAATTGGACTTTTTTGGAGTGTTAATTGGTACCAAACACAATTCTTCCTGTATCAGCTAATTATGCCTAACATGTCCACTTTCAATTTTGGCAAAGAAATTTTATGTGTTGTGCGTCCAATTTAGAGTAAGGGAGCTTTAAGAGTTTTCTCTTTCAAGCGGTTACAAAATTGTAAAACTGATATGCTGTATTCTTCTTAAATATCTTTTCGCTGACTTACGCTTTTTGTTTATGTCTGTACAGTGGGAATTCATGTGAGAGATATGCTTGCGCCTCTACCGCTTTCGCTCGCGAGACCGCTTTCGCTCGCGAGTCGCTTGCGAGTTTGATGCCCACGTTCGTACTCGCGTTCGCGGCTCAACAGCCTAAACGATATCACTCGCGCGTAGAATCTCGACAGCTACCCAGACTATATTTTTAAGGTTAAGAAAATCAGTCAAATAGCCCTATAGGATAATTGCTCACACGATAAGCACTTTCAACTGGATGGCCACACTAGAGGGAATCATATACCAGATGTTAAGGAACCATTTTGTATTCTTTTGCGCCACATGAAGATACTTAACTTAAGCTTTAATTAATCATGAATGGACTCACGCTGTGGGTTTCATTCACAAACCCAAAAGTTGGAACTACCTTGTACAACATAATAAACAGTACCACAGGAAAGTACTGCTCAGTAGCTTTCATTTGAATGGTCACACTTTAGGATTTCATCCACAGACTCAAACGTTAGAACCACCATGTACAGCATAATACACTGTACCACAGGAAAGTACTGCTCAGTAGCTTTCATCTGAATGGTCACACTTTAGGATTTCATCCACAGACTCAAAAGTTAGAACCACCATGTACAGCATAATACACTGTACCACAGGAAAGTACTGCTCAGTAGCTTTCATTTGAATGGTCACACTTTAGGATTTCATCCACAGACTCAAAAGTTAGAACCACCATGTACAGCATAATACACTGTACCACAGGAAAGTACTGCTCAGTAGTTTTCATTCGAATGGTCACACTTTAGGATTTCATCCACAGACGCAAAGTTAGAACCACCCTGTGCGGCGCAATGAGCAGTAAGAAAATGCTCGCAATGAGATGCGGTTTCAAGCTAGATTTGCCTTAGGACGCGTGAAAAGATAACAATTTACAGTGCCGTTTGAAATGCATTTGCAAAGCTTTAAAAGCACCAATTTATGGCGGGATGATTGGACAAAATCCTATGGTGTTACCATTCAAATGAAACCTCTTTCGCAGACCTTTTGAATGGGGCTATTTGGAGTTTGCAAAAA